AAAACCTCATATATTTGTTCTCCCATTCAAGATACATGCTCTTCTGTAAAACATGAGAGGAATTCATTTCATAGTTTCTAGGGTCAGAAGGGACCTGAACAGATCATCAAGTCCTACCCCCTACCCTGGGCAGGAGCGAGTGCTGGGATCATAATACCCCAGCCAGATATTTATCCAGCCTCCTCTTGAAGACCCCCAAGGTAGGGAGAGCACCACCTCCCTTGGGAGCCCATTCCAGAGCCTGGCAGCCCTAACTGTAAAGTAACGCCTCCTGATATCAAGCTTGAACCTGCTATCAATCCATTTGTGGCTGTTATTCCTTGTTATCCCAGGTGGTGCCCAGGGGAACAGAGCCTCACCTATTTTCCACTGGTCCCCCCGGTGAGTTTATAGATGGCCACCAGATCGCCTCTGAGTCTTCTCTTGTGGAGGCTGAATAGATTCAGGTCCTTTAGTCTATCTTCATAGGGCCTGGCCTGCTACCCCCTGACCATGCGAGTGGCCTTCCTCTGGACCCTCTCAAGGTTAGCCACATCCCTCTTAAAGTGCGGTGCCCAGAACTGGACGCAGTACTCCAACTGCGGCCTGACCAGTACTGCATAGAGGGGAAGGATCACCTCCCTGGATCTGCTTGTGATGCATCTATAGATGCACGACCAGGTGCAGCTAGCCTTACTGACCGCTTCCTCGCATTGGCGGCTCATGTCCATCCTGGAGTCAACAATAACTCCAAGATCCCTTTCAGCCACTGTGTTGTTGAGAAGGGTGTTCCCCAGCCAATAGGTATGTTGCAGGTTTCATTGTTGAATGCACCAGTTCCACATCCCGTTACATCTTAACATAACAATGAAGACTTCACCTCCCCACCCCTCACTTCCATTTGTTTAATATATAACACATTTATTTACTATATAACACTATGGTTATTTTGTCAGTCATTACTTGAACTAAAAGGCCTTGAGAATGAAGTAGAAATGTCTTTCAAGATCTGACTGCTGCTCTGAGTTTCACGCATCCAAGTTTCCTGCAGCAGAGAGAAGTCTTGTGCTTGCAGGTATTCTGTAAGTGTACCCTTCCAAATGGCAAATCCTCTGTTACTATAATTTTGAATATGAGGGGATATGCAAAAAACACTTTGCACACATTTTGGGGCTTTTTCCACTGTTTCAGGGAGGAGTTATCTAGATGTGCAGAAACTCTTTGGATGGTTAGCAAACAAACACCCTAATGGTTCTCTCTAGTCCTCTGCTACTCTTTCTGGCTAGAGCTCTCTAGGTTAGAGAAATCAGTAGGCAAGGATTTCTTCTTATCTCCTGGCTATGAACCCTCTTCTTCATAAAAGCATCAGGAAAATTCTTTTGATCTTCTACTCATAGCCTCTTTCAAGCTTCTAGATTCAGTTCTTCAGTGTGAAGGAGTCAGTAAACTAAATTTCCTTTTGTTTTCTCAAGTTTAAGCCTTCTTCAGTCCCCCGGCTCTATTTCAGGAAAGTTTTCACACAAACTCTGCTGCTCTCACAGCCTTTTTCAGGAAATACCTGCATTGCTCTTTAAGGAACAATCACCAAATCCCTGCTAGCAGCCTAATCCAGGAAATTCCTGCACAACTCTTTCAGCTCCTGCCTATCTTCCATAGACAGATATTTAAGTATTCAGCAGCTCCTGCTTCCTGTCACTCTTTGCTAGTCTCAAGTGCTATCCAACCATCCTAATAAGGTTCAGTTGATGTATATCTGCTTTGTCAGAGAGCTGAACCTTCTTTAAAGGAACTAGCAACCCTGCAGTAAGAAGGTCAGTGGAGGCATATACAGGCAGTCCTCGACTTACAACATTTTGAGTTACAACGTTTTGCACTTACATTTATAAATTGACACTGTTTCAACTTTATGATGTCAGTTTCGACTTTACAATGCTTGATACAATGCGATGTCACACCAGCAAGCACATTCGCTGCATCACTCATCTCCCTGGAGAACATCTATCCAAACTTCCTAGGACACTTTCTTTAAGAAAGCAGACAAGACTCCAGAAAAACCTGCAGCTAAGACTCCTGAGAAGAGTCCAGCCAAGAACCCTGCAAAAAGTCTAAGAGCCTTTCAAAAAGTCCAGCAAAGTCACCTCAAAGAAGTCTTTCCAAATCAATGATTGCTATTTCCAATAGAAATACATTAATGTAGTTATATTACTCATCTATGATTGACTGAGTACAAAATTCTGGGGTATTTTTGGTGAAAATAGGGTATCGGGCCTTAGTTCAATCCCCCATTTATAACATTGTTTCTTATGAGGTAGATGCGTGGTGGCTTTGATGAGACAGAAGATTGCTCTGATGGACTTCAACCTGTGAACCCATATTATTTAGGATTTCTACATGCTGACTTTCAGACTAAAGTTCTAAACAGATGCCATCCTTGGAGCATGCTCAGCTCTTCTGGAATATGTTGCAGCAGAACTGATAAGCCTTACTGGATGACTCAGATGTTACCTGTTGTTCTGCAGGATCTAGCTTCTGCCGCTCCCGGGGCTTCAGAAGCCCGATCCTGTGAGACAACTACAAATGGGGGAACCTGAGTTGGGACTACGCACACATGGGGGAATCCCCTGCCAGGGTATTCCCAGAACATACCTCTACAAACAGGGGAACGTGGGAACATATCTCATGTCAGGACACGGTAGAACAATATGGATGCCCAAGAAATCCCGTGCCAGAGGTTTCCTGATGCACACTGCTCCAAGCAGAGGAACACCAGGCAGGTGCTCCCAGGGGTCCAGGGGCCTAATCCTGCCTACCCTGGGAATTCCCCTCCAGGGATATTCCTAGGCATCCAGAATCAGACTCCTGAAGTCCTGGGAGTGCCTGTCTGGGGTGGCTGGAGAGCATGGGCAATGCAGACAGACTGGAAGGTGGGGGTACAAGGCCCCACAGACTCAGGTGGGCTGACAAGGGTCCACAGGCCAGACACCATACTAGGAATCAGAACCAGTGAAAGATTGGGACTCCTCTGTCTGGCCTCTGATGAGCAGGGTGGAATGGAGCACCCAAAGTGTTATTCTGGGACTCTAAGGGATGCCTCCCAAATCTATATTAATTGACATCAAGAGATGGCAGGCAAAGACAGGGCAGTACCCTGCTGGTGACAAGAGTGCAGAACAGGCTTGGGGTGGCCACCAAAGTGCCACCTTAGAGACAGAGCCCCTTACAAAGGTACCTCCTTTTTGCAGGTTCTGACATGAAGGGTGGGAAAACAGTGTTACTAGGAAGCATGTAAGACAAGAGCACAGACCCCAAGGAACCTAAACATTTCTCAAAAATCCTTCCAGGTATTTTTATGGTAGTATGAAAAGCCTTACACCTGAAAGTTTTATTTCTATCTGGTTAACAGATATCTGGTTCCATCTGCTCCTGGAAAGACAAGTTGGTTCCTGGCAACTGAAAGAACTGGAGAAACTGTCCCAATGTCCTTAAAAATGTCCTGTCTCAAAAAAGGGGGCTAAATTTCAAATTCTTCCTCAGCACTATTTAAATAAGGGGAAAGAGTTGCTAACATATGGAGCTAAACATGAGAGTTCTTTGATCTTACCACTGAACCATCCTGCAACTGCTTCTATCACTGGAAATCTTTTAAACAGGGGTGGACAAAATACAGCCTGCAGGCCAGATCCGGCCAATGGGTGGATGGCCACCAGCTAACTGTATCTGTCCCACGGGTGGCTGGCTTCTCCAGCTGCCAGTCAGGACTGTTCCGCCCAGCAGCATCAGGCATGATCTGTGGACCCAGGCAAGGCTTCTGCCGCAGCCGGCAAGCAGCAACAGCAGTTGTGGACACTGCTGGTAGGTTCAGAAGCCCGAGGTGGAACCTGCCAGCACCATACACAACTGATGTTGCCACCCTCCCAGTACAGTGGAAGCTCCTGCCCAGAGCTCTGACCCAGAACTTGCCAGAGGCATCAGCTGAGAACCCAGGCAGGAGCTTCTGCTGTGCCAGGCAGGCAGCAGCATCAGCTGTGTCAGGGCTCCAGAACCTGCTGGCTGTGCCCACAGCTGACACCACTGCCCATCTGGTGCAGCAGCAGCTCCTGCCTGAGTCCACAGCTGATGCTGCTGGCAGGTTCCAGTTTGGGGCTCTGGGCAAGAGCTTCTACCATGCCAGGACAGCACTGATGTCACCTATAGATGCCATTACCAGGTTCTGTGTTTGGGCTCCTGAACCTACCAGCAGTGGCGATGTTGCTGCCCACCTGCTGCAGCAAACTACAAATCCAGGAGGTTCTGGAAGGAGGGGAAAGAGGAGGGGGAGAGACAGAGATAAGAGAGGGGAGACAGAGAGAGACAAAGACAGAGAGAAAGACAAAAGAGGAGAGAAGAGACAGACAGACAGAGGGACAGCAGAGGAGAGGCAAACAAAAGAGAAAGGAAGATGAGAGAGAGAGAGAGAGAGAAGAAAGATGGATGTGGCCCGTGACAGGTCCCCAAAACTCATTAAGTGGCCCTCCAGCTGAAATAAATTACCCACCCCAGTTCTAGAATACTTAAATTAGGGAAATCCCAGACCCTCCTTAACATTCATAAAAGATCCTTTTCCTTTTGCAGTGAGAGAAGAGGGAGGCAAAACCCTGAAAAATGAGCTCTCAAGGAGCACTGCAAAGGAGCTACTGCTCTACAGCATGGAAAGGGGAGACCTACTTCTCAATATGAACATATGAAATTCTATCAAGTCTGGTATGGATTCAATTCATATATGAAAAAGGCAAGTGGCCAGAGAGTTCTTTTGCATTAGTTCCACATAAATAGAAAGTGAATACAACCTGTTTACTGCACTAATAGGGAAATATTTTCCAAGATTATTCCTAAATTGGGATATAGGAAACTAGCACCTTTCCACCAGTCTTTTCTGCATGTGCCATTTTTTCTTCTTCTTCTTGCTACTTTCAATACTCTAAATTGAAGTGTATTAGAATCTTAAAACAATAGTTTTCAAAAAATATAATCCTAGTCATTACCTTGATCTATACAGATGAATTATAACCCACACATCCTTTGGAGCATTTGTAACTTCTTTAATGTACTGGTCTCCAGAAATTTCTCTCAGCTCCCCATATTTTTGTCTTTTCTGAAGAGATTTCCATTCTTGTAAGCGCTGTTGCCTAATTCAAAAATAAACTATTTTAATACAACTTTCAAATTAAATAAAAAGCCCAAATTGTGTTTCTGATTTTAAAAACAAACTTATTTCTAATGAAGAAAGCCAGATGTTGATGTTTTACTATTTAGTAACAACTAATGAAAATTCGAATGAAAAATCAGCAGGTGGCAGTCTTCATCTATGAAAATATATGGTGAAATTAAGTTCTATGAAAAAGTACTGAAATAAGCCAAACCTTTATTTTAAGCTGTTTTTCTTTAAAAAAAAAAGTTAAACATTCTATGCACAGTATTCTGTATGTACATGTTTATATACCATAATGTGTCAAAATTTAGATGCAGAACTCCGTGCTACAATAAGAAAAAAACAGGACTAAAAGGGACCTCCAGATGCCTTCTAGTTCAATACCCTGCTGGATCATTCCTAAATTATTTCAGACAAGTGTTTGCCTACCCTGTACTTTAAAACATCTAAGAATGGAGACTGCACAACCTCTTCAGGTAATATATTCCAATGCTTAGTTAAAAAGTTCTTTTAATATCCAGCCTATATTTCCCTTGTAATTTAAGGCAGCTGTGTCTTGTTCTGTCCCCTGAAACCATCGAGAATTATCTACTGCCATCCTCTTAAAAAATACCTTTCAGGTATTTGAAGACAGTTACCATTTCCCCCATGGGTGACTGGTGCTGCCTTAATCAGGGGTGTCATTTGCCCCCCACATCCCTGACCAGTTCCAATGACGAGGAATGGCTGTGGCCGCTTCTGGGAGCGGCTGCAGCTATCTGCCAGCACTTGCAGGAGGAGCACCAGCGCTCCTGCCTGCCCCCCCGTCCATCGCTTAAGTGGTGAGTGTGGCCAGTCAGGGGGTGCACCAGTGCTCTCAGGGGATGCACGTGCACCCCCATGCACCCTCTACATGTTGCCACTGATTTCCTTCCTCTGTCTTTTCTTCCCCAGAATAAATAATCTCAGTTATTCTAACCTTTTCTTACAAAGCAAGACTATCCAACTGGTGGCCCATCTCTCTGGTTTGAGTTGTGCCCTTTCCATTACTCTCCTGCTGGAGTTTCCAGCCTTCCCCTCACTACCACCTTCTGCTGCTTGCCCCCATCTCTGGGGGAAGCAGAGCATGGCCCACATAGCTGAAGGAGGACTCAGGAGACCTGAGGCACCAGGGTAGTGCAATGGAGCAGAGCAGGTAGGGGGACTTGCATGTCATGTGCCTGCAGGCTCTAGCCACAAAGAAGTTGTGCAGTCCTGTTATAAATCATGGTTTCAAATCTGTAACCATTTTGTTGCTCTCCTCTGGACTCAGATTTGGACAAATCTTTCTTGAATTGTTGTGCCAAAAACTGGACACTACTCCATGTGAGGTTTCACAAGAACTGAACAAAGTAGAAGAATCACTGCACTTGATTTGTGGATGACACTCTTGTTAACAAACCCCCTGAATGCTATTGGATTGTTTTGCAGTTTATAACTCCCACATCCTCTTTTGCAGTAACGCAGTCTGGCCAGTCATTCGCTAATCTGTGGTGATGTGTGCGATTATTCCATCTTAAATGTACAACTTTATACAGGGCAGTCATTCCTTTCTTGCACCTGATGTTCCTTTTATTCATTGGTCCAAGAGGTATAGTTTGAATCTGATGTCTTTCAGATTCCAGGTCCAGGAAGAAGAGGAGTGATAAATGCATATTTTTATGTCCAAATCAGAATATACACATATTATGTCCCCATTTGTTAACAGTGAGGGGGAGGGAATCATCTAACCCCAAAAATAACTAAATTCATGAAAAGAGTTTGGGTCATAGTGTCATAGTGAATTGGACACCGTTCAAGTTCTATGTCTGTGCTACAGGCAATGAAATGGAATTTAGGGAGGATTATGGCTGCTCCACCCTTTAATGTCTTCAAGCAGGAACCTGAGGAGGTACAGGACATACAGGTAGCCCCTACAAACACAGATATTAAAAAAATTCCAAGTTCACAAGCCCAAGATGTATGTTCACCTACAGTGGGAATCAGATGGACATACACTTACAGAACAATTTATATTGTTAATATGGCAAGTAACATCTTAGTATACCTATATTTTTCAACAGCTTTCATATCATCTTCATCAAACTCATCTTCAGCTTCCTCTAATTCATTTAGAGTCATGCTTTCATATGGTTTCACTTAAAAGAACAAATCAAAAAAATCAGTGTTTTGTTCACTGCAGAAACAGAATATTTCAATATTTTTTCTGTGCAAAATCTTTATATGAAGACACTGAGAGCCATCTCAATGTGAAAAATGTTACATCTCATCTAAGAATTTGTTGTTCAACATCAATGTAACCTGATGCAAGAAAAAGATGGCAAGTTAAGTATGAGTGGGTGCACCTACATGTGTAATTAGAATGTAGAAATAAACTCCAGCACAGGTCACACTGGAGTTTATTGGTCCGGGGCACAACGTTTACATGTGTGCCCAAGACCGCAGCTTACTAAGCTGGGGGGTCAGCCTGCCAGCCTGGAGCTCCTACACCCTGGCACAACATGCTGCAGAGGGGCTGGCTGGGGCACAAAGGTGCTTCAGTGTGGGGCTAGCCAGCAGGCAGCCCCCACACTGTCGCACTGTCATGCCCCAGCCAGCCCTGGTTACTGTCTACACACGCATTATGCCGTACTAGGTAACTCTGCCATAGGATAATACTTGTCCTGGACAGTACTATCCTACAATGGAATTAATTAATTTACTGCACCCTCATAAGGATGCTTGTGTAGATGGTGATACCTTACTGTGGAACTAATTAGTCAACTCTGCAGTAAAGCATACATGTAGATGCATCCAGTAAATATAAAAATTACTACTTTGGTCATTTTCATGGGCTCCATTTGTCGCAGGCAATGGCTACATGGCAAATTTACTTCATCAGGCACCAAAGGCTCAAACAGACCATGCAAAGGTAAATGGTTGGTTTTTCATGTTATATACTAGAGGTTGTCAACCAGGGGTAGGCATACCCCTGGAGGTACTTGGGAAGCTCCCAAGGGGTATATGGTAGTGGTGCGGAGAAGCAGGGGGCACTTCCAGTTTTGCTGCTGTGCACGGGGGACCACCTGCCCGCCACTGATCAGACTTCCTGCTTCTCGACCGGGTGCTGGGGGTACACCAACCAAAAAGGGTTGAAAACCCCTGTTATATACCATAGTGCATGTTACTGA